ATATCAGGCTGGTGTCCAATATTTTAATGCAAATCAAATGGTACTCATTTCGAATACATAAGGGTCGATGGAACAGGATATGAAATGAAATGAAATGAAAAGAAATGGGGTTTAACGTCCTACTGTTCTGCTTCTATACTGGGCTAATGAAGACGGGCATACACCTTACAGATAACCAGATGGATCATTATCATTCATTTGTAATCTGACACCATATCATATTTTAAAAATAACTGCAGGAGAATCGCTCAATAGGCTGACTACAAAAATACAAAATCAAGTCGACATCGAGATAAAATAATTGACATTGACATAAATAGCTATTGACTGGTAAAGATTTCTAATTCTTTGCTACTTAAAAGCACATATATATAATCTGGGGGTGTTTTTCTTTTTATCAATTTTTTATTTTATAAATAAACTTGATATGATTATTAATAATTGAGAACTAGTGTCAAGCACAGTTGAAGGGTTTTGGGTAATATCTTACAGAAATAACCGTTCTTGCTAATTACAAGCTTATTTGTAGCAAATAAAACTACGGGATGTGGGGTTAGTTCCTGTTTTCAATTTTATAAAATGTCAGAAGGATGTGAGTAATAACCTGCGAATAAAATCTGTGACATTCAAATTAGTATTTACTGTAAGAATAACATTTAAATCCTTGTGACAGAAATGAACACATGAGAAAACAAGTCAATGACATTATTAATTAAGTTGACTTGTGTACCGGTTATTAAATCGTTAACTGTGTGAAAAATGACAGCTATTACGTATAGTAATCTCGTGTTCATTTGTCGTATAAGAGCTTACACTTCATCTTTAAATTGAAACCAAACACAGTAGACATTTTGTGTTTGGTTAAGATAAAATGGTAGCTTCTGCACATGGCTATTGTAACAAGTACGATCGTACTGTGGACCAGGAACAAAGTATGACATCATTACCGCCGTGTTGGAATTGTGACATCATGTCCAAAATTAATACGCAAGTTTTATATCTACCGTAATTGAATTGGTGAAATAGGCTTTATTCGAAAAGCATTGGCCCAAAGAACAATAAATTAAGTAATGGTTTTGACTAGACGGATGTAAATGAAATTTGGAATGAGATACAGAAAAAAAACCCAATGGTAATTCGAGACAAACTAGGTGATTAAGGGACTTATATTTGATCAAATTTGATTTCAACAATTCGCCTGCGCAGAACGGGTTTTGTCTGTGGGATGAAACCACAAGACCCGGGGAATACCCACGAGCTTGCCCAGGCGACCAAACTCCATGTCACGTACATGTGAGGAATAGAGATCACGCCACTTTACTTAATGGCAGACCGTATGATCTATCTGTTTAAACAGCCAAGGTTATATTCTCATTGGCACCAAATATAATAATATGGTTTCACATTCTGGTTCGTCAAAGATCAAGCCGCATTAAGTTCAGATAGAATAAAACCCGTTCAGATCTCTTAGGAATTTAATTGGCATAAAACAATCAGGTTGCTTCGATCAAAATTGTGACGATCATAAAAAAATAGAATATAAATCAGAAAATTAACTCAGATAAAGAACAAACCAATAAATCTTCAGATTCTGTTTAAGTGTGCTGCCATTGATGTATTCGTCAGCTCCTGTCCTATAAAAAGTGCTTGGTACAACCTAGAATCTTTTAAGGAAATGTATAATTAATAGCAATTGAAGTCTGCCGGAATCACTCTATCCAGATTAGTAATGGGGGATTGTAAAGTTAATGACAAGGAATACCTTCAACTACTTTTCCACATTATGACCATGTGGGTCGTCATTGTTTAATGATGGATTCTGATTTCAGAATAATTTTTACAAGACAAAATATGAATCCGCGGGCTAGATCTATAAAATTGTCGAATAATTAGATACGCTGTGGGATTAAAAACAAAAGAAAATTGGTCAATCAATACCGTCCATACAGGAAAAGCAACCAGTGTAGAAAAAAAGCCAACAAACACGTTTAATTGATCATCGGATAACATTTCACATTTAAATTCACACAATAACATAACCGAATGACATGGCATGGTGTGAATCCGAATTAAACAGCTAGTCTATATTGAGGCTTCAAATATCTCTCTAAGAATAAATATATCGATGCCTGTTTGATTACTTCACAAGTCCACAGGCAGAGCAGAATGAAATCGGAAAATAAAGGTTTTTTTTTAAAGAGGCCTTATAACTTTCAACAAAGAGAATAAAATGTAATTTAAATTCTTTATTCACTACCATATTCATAATAACAGTAGACTCTCCTAGTCATCGAGATTCCAACCCTACCTAGAATAAGGCATTTTGCCAAAGCGTCCGCGAAGCTTGATAGAAACCAATATATACTTTAATATATGCAACTTGTTAACGTCAATGTTTCTGAAATATATATTTTCATATCTGTCACAATCGAAATGGACACTGTGGTGTATCTCTTTCAGCCAATCGCGATATTATCAAATCAGCCCCAAGTGATGCGTTCGATTGTTGATGTCTATATACTGTTTTCAGTATTTTAGGCTATTCACCAAAGTGAGCGGAAGTCGCTTTGTTCATAAGATTTAGTATCGTTTTGCTCTAAATTGTCAACTGTCAAAAGCAAAATAGGGTATATTCTTAATGTGAAGAAGTAGAAAGGGTTGTATTAAAATATTGGTCAAAACCGACATTTTGATTTTCACAGCGGTCATAAACTATTAAGCTATTGCGTCGTCGACTCAAAAGAGTGTATGCTAGTCATGGTCTTTAGGTCCAGTAGTACACTAATGGTAGGAGTGATTAAACTATTATATTTCCCGAACCTATACGGTCATGTTAAACCTTATGTCAAGCTCAAAATGTCACTTTCTGAGATACCCCTTATATCTAGTTCGGGACGATTGTACAACATACACCAAGCAGTACTAATGACGACAGAAGTCTTGTCTATATCCATTAATGGTCATCTCCAGACCAATATAATCTCCTGCGCTTGAGCAATATTTCATAATATGAAAATCTAATTATATATTTCGCTGTATGGTGTCTGCGACATATGTAGGTTACGAACTGAATGCGATTAGAAACGTGCCCGAATGAATATGATTTGTTTTCGTCAAGATCTCACGCAGTTTTGAGCGTTATCCAATCATTCTGTTCAAAGTGAAATCGCAGTAATCATAATGATGATCAGTGGGTCGTAAAACTATCAAGTGCATCCAGACTATTCTTGATACAAACGTAGAAAAATTTGTTTTAAACATACATTATGCAAGAGCTAAATCTGCCGGTTATAGGTGTTTCTTTGGGCCCGAAATGTTATCAAATTAATTAACTTATCCAGACCATAATCAACTCTCGATGTCATCGCTAGCCTGCGATGTTTATTGGATTAGGTTCCGATTTGCTGTTCGACTTCCATTCATGATTTAATCATGAAATGGATAATTGAGACTATGGGTTTTTTTTTATCGTACCGTCTTTAGTAATGATGATCGAGGCTAGGCCGAAAAATCAGCAAATTCCCTTTACATTATCTAGTTTTTAACTATTATAGTGAGACCTGCCAGCTCTTTATCTAATCTCCCATAATGTATCTTTAACTATACGTGAAGCGGTGTCAGCTGTTCTACAAGTAATATACTTTAAATTTGATAGTTAGCTTTAACAACAGGATTATAAGCTTAAACGGTTTCGTTAGTTTTTGCGAATTTATCAAGTGGATGATAATACAACCACCGGAAAAAATATCTGATCCGTTCGCTTTCTCAATTTATCGGTGACCTGCCCTGTGTTCGCGTATTCTGTAACATGATCACTATGTAAATGGCGGATTATAATCACATGGTTATATGTACCCACCCAGTACTAATAGTCTTCACTAAGCTTATTTAATACGTCCAGCAACTGTTACCGAAAACCAAGATATAATAAACCGAAATATCTTGTTATCCGTTACCAAATTACGAATGTATTGGTTTTTCATCCCGATGTTATGTTCTACTCAGTAAGCCGGTCTCCAAAACCCCGAACCAAACTATATAGCCCAATGAGCGATATATGTCGTGCACAAGGCAGCGTTTGTTCTTTATAGAACATTATTAGACAGTTACGATATTTAACAAATTCTGTTGTATAATTAGCATGAATGCACCAAGTAAAACTTTCTGAACTGAATTAATGAATATGGTACATTAAAAACACTATTAATTATATCTACGTCACCTTAATGGAAATATATATGTATTAATCATGCAGAACACTAGTAATCTCCTACTGGACTTACTAGGCACTATAAACAATATATTAGTTGATTCGACCATTGTTCCCGAGGAGCATAATCGTAATCTGCGATTTATACATTAAGAGGATTGCCATTCATATATATATACATAATGGGCATAATTGTAGGTCTGTGAAGTGTTCGTATTTACAAGTTTACGTTTATTATCAGTCCCTAGACGTATATAAATACTTTATAATAGCCGAGTTACTACTCATGTAGAAATAACTTATTATTATTGTCGCAAATTGAAACCTTCTTCTGGTATTCATTTACGACGTTGCTCGAGGCATGTAATCACATTAGAGAACCGAATCATCTTAGCTAGGGCGCGTTCTCATGGAAATGTCATCTTTGTATTGTCAATGTACAGATTGTAAATTAAATCTAATATCAGCCGTTCGTCCTCGACTTTGTTTAAAAGATTATAGAGTTCAACATTTAATATATCTATATCATTTATTGATTGTGACGCAAGGTTGTATTTCTAACCTTTAAATAAAATCGGATAAACGCCAGTAACAATAATAAATCTCACCACTATTTTTTGTATGCTTGTGGGATTTAAAACAAAGTAATAATATTGCCAAATAGATGAGCAAAAAAAAAACCAACAAAAAAACAATTATAATTGGATGGAAAAGCAGAAAGGTTGTGCCATTGTAGCTGTTTAATTCTCTCAATGACAAAATTAGTTATATCGGTCATTTTTATTTTCAGATTGTTTGAGACGCAGCCAGATGTACAAGACGTGTTTGTTCCTTTCAAAGGGAAGTCAGTGGATGAACTTAAAGACAGCACCCAACTTAAATCTCACGCTATGCGAGTCTTGAGTGCAGTGGAGAAAAGTATAGCTAGTTTTGACAATCCAAAACGGTTAGAGGAAATGCTCAGTGATCTTGGTGCCCGACATGTTATGTATAATGCCAAGGTGGATTATATTGACGTAAGTATAAATATAATGATCACGTGGGGATTCATATAAAAACTAATAACGTTAATTCCGAAGTAGAACGTTATGAAAATGCATTATGTAACGACCATGTAAAGCGTATCATTATTTCATTATCTTTGGATTAGGCCGAATAAAGAAGAAAACGGTAAAATTCTTGTCTTCTGAATATTTAAGTCATTTAAATGCAAAATTTTGATTACACACAAGAACCATCCCACGTATATAAATCGAGTTTCACTCATAAGAAATGTCACATTAAAATGAATAGAGATAATTTTTATGGTTACCATTTTACAAAATGTAACTTTTAATGCTGATTGTGTGTGCTGTTTTATTAACACCCGTGGTTTTTGGCAATCGATATATGCACTCTAAACCATCATTTTGTGAATTTGCTGAAGGTTATCTTAATTCCACGATGTTAGCGTCAACGATTGATAAACAGCAGAGACGTGGGATGGTTGAATTCCGAGAAGAAAATATCACAATTTCACAGGAAACGAGTGCCAATACGATGCATCTGTTTTATTAATTAGAAGTAAAAAAAAGGAAGCTGAAATATCTATTATGTAAAAGATAAAACAATCTTTGTAGCTAATGTAGTTTTAAAAAACGAACTTATAAAGAAGTTTTCGGTACTTAATCACGTAAAGTTCTTATATTTCGCATAGCGGGCAATCCTCACAAGTAGAAATGACCAGCTAAGAAAAGTGGTAGCGAGTCAAAATCTTTGCTTATTCGAGTGTAAATGGAACATTTTCAATAATTGTTGAGATCGTTAAATATTTGGTGAATGAAATGGGGTTTAACGTCCTACTTTTCTGCGCCGACTGAAGCCACGATATAATGTGCTATGAAGAAAATGTTACCCGGACAGCGGCTATACGGTCTACTTATAAATCTAAATCCAAATGCCAAGGACGCTTTTATGTGCAGTGCACGCCAGTGTGTGCACAAGACCTCGGTTTTTTGCACCATCCGAACAATTATACGTTGTCCATTACCCGGCCCTCCGTTCTGCACCATATACAAAATCCCTGAGAACTTTTACGGTCAGCTCAGGGACAGAATGGGACAGCAAACGTCTTACTCACTGAGTCACCGTGGCGCCCTAAATATTTGATAGTCAGTGGTGTCTGCTTCCTCTCGATGCAAATGGCTGCAAGCGGTGCTAGCAACAGTTACAGATATATTTGTAATTTAAAAGACGCAGATCCTGGGCGCCCTGTACGTAGACACAAAGTATGTTTTCAACACGAAATTGTTTTTGTTATACTAAACGTGTATTTGATAAATTATATCTTTTAGATTTGTTTAATTGGAATGGTCTACGTTAAAATCTTTTAAATCGATTGTCTCCAATGATTGAATGTATTTATTTCGTCCTAAACCTACGTATTGTTTCTGTTGAATGTCGTGTTGATTGGCAGACATGGTAACCGTAATGAATTGTTCGAACCACCAGTCAATCAGACATTTACGTCTGTTCCTTGGGTTAAACACTATTTAATCTTTAAAGTTGCAATTGATACGGATACAATAACATGGGCTTATATTAGTTTGCTGCCATACGATTTACTCTTTTGTATATTCGGTGTTATGGTTCATTGGCAAATGCTAATTAATAATAATAATAAACGGTCAAATGATTAATATTAATAAGAAACCACCAAATATTATATGAATACTAATAAAAATAATAATACTGAATTGATTTTAAAAAATAAAATCGAATAAAGACAACGTTTGTTATGGAAAGACATGTAATTTGCGAGTAAAACAAATGTATAGAGTCCAGTTCGAGTGGGGGTGACGTATTTTTAGTTGATTTTTTTCTGTTTTGTTAGGGGGGTGGGGGGGAGAAGACTAATGCTGGTGTCACACTGTCCCGAAATTGACACCAGATGGCCATACGAAAATAGAATGCTGAGTTTTGAGCGAAGATGGCCCCGAAACTGGTCAAATACCAATCGACAGCCAAGGCAAGTGCGATGCCTACAGAAAATCACACGATGGCACCCGAACCACACATACGGAGACGTGAATTTTGTATAATAGTTTATACCCGCATGACACACGAAGGCCACACGATGGCTTGTAGAGTTGCTCAGGACTGACTCAGGAAGATAATTTATCGGGCATCACAATCTCTTGAAATTGACACCAGATAAAGTAAATTAAGCCATCGTATGACCTCCTGTGAAGTTGTTTCAGGCTCCGGCAGCAACTTCATGAGTGCTGGCAAAATCTTTGGCATGCCAAACAATTGCCGAAGGACCTTGCGGAGATTCATTTTCGTGTTGAATTTGTGTGTTCATTTTGCCCTCCATAAGGCCATCGTAAGGGCATAGAGAGGACTTCGCGTAGTCTTGTTGCCTTCATTGAACAATCGGGCAGTTTCTTTTTTACTTCGCATTGTGGTTGTATGGAGAACAAGCGGTTGTCATGCAAGATACGCCCACATTTTGCAAGCGATGGACAGATAACAAGCTAAAAAATGTGATAATCCAGGAAATTACTGTCCAAATATAAATTTCATGCTTCATCAAAATAGGATACAAATTGTGACCCCTGGAGGGTCCACAGCCTTGGTATTACATACTTTTACACTATTTGCGTACGGGGAGCGGCCATTTTGTCCGGTAGTGTCGATCCGATTTCATCAAAATAGGATACAAATTGTGACTGTCCTGATATTCACCGATACACCGAGGAAAGGTGCTAATAAGTTACTTACATCACATTTCTATCGAGTATTGTGAAAATGTGAAAAATAGTTTTTATTATCGAGTCGTTTCAACCGAAAAGTGACAAATACTTTCTGCTCTTTCATTATTTATCCCTTTCTGAGCCCCACGTTACATTTCATGGTAGAATGATTTCGCAGTGGAGAGACGACCTGGGTAGTATTTACACGTGCGCCTTGCTATGATACTCTGAGCGTAATACAATCACGTGTTTGTTAAGACCATATCGTTAAAACAACTTGTCCAGGGCGTAGAGGACTGCGATATTATTAAATGTAGTGTAAAGGAAATGCGAAACGTGGGTCATTCCTGGTGAAAGTATGCATCGGCGGATGGTTCTTCCGTTGAAATTTATTTGTAATAAAGTTTATGACTTTCTAGGCGTTTTTTTCATCCTGCTTATTTTCAATGCCTGTGAAGTGTCCAGCAAGAGAACTGCGCCTTCTATCATCACAATTAATTAAAATAATTCTTCAATATTCTAATTTATATATTTTGCATATTAATATAAATCAAACCAAATTATGAAATAGATGCCAATTGATATGTATAATAATTGATTTTTGTAATATGTTGTTATCTTAATTTAATGTCATTGTATATGTTTTTGAACTGCCATGTAGTCCCCCCCCCCCCATTTTGTTTTGTTACTATGATTTTGACTAGTTGTTTCATGTACATTGGTTAGAGCCATCGTTATCAATTGCGATCTGGGTCGGACTAAACGTCCGCTACTTTTGGTTGATAGGTATCTAAAACGGTATAAAAGTATCAGTGTATCACAAATGAACAGTACTCTTTCTGTACATTTCTAATACACGGATACTTTTATGCATGAAATGCAAATAAACAGGACAGTTTTATCAAAGGTTGCCAGTGGCAACGAGTAGAAGTGGGATGTAATAATATTATGCGTACTACTCTAATGGAGATAAACACAATTGAGACAATCAATATTGATCTCGGTACTTTAGATGAAATATTTGGAGATATGTCCGAACATGAACTTAAAACACCAACCCTCTTGTCAGGTATCAGCTACAAACAATAAAATATACAATAATCTATTACAAAAACATAAAGTTTATTTTAAAAAATATTTTTTAAAAAATGAAGTGAGAATTTTTTTTATTTTTTTTTTGGGGGGGGGGGGCTATACTCATACTGCTACTATAGCAACCGAACGATAAGCGAGTCAAATCTAACGAGAGTAGCCTGTTATCCCGTTACGTCAAGACGTTTTCATTACGTCAAAATTTATTTCTTTGGTTTTTACGTCATTAAAACAGATTTGCAGTTTGACGAATTTTGAAGTTTACTACACAATAAAATGAGTTCTTTTGAAATCTTAAAAAAAAATAGCATGTTACAATGTCGATAAACACCTGTTTCGCATTTAGAGGGGTGTTATTGTCCAATAGACATGGGTCCTAATGATCTCAGGACATGTCTATTGGACAATAACACCCCTCTAAATGCGAAAAAGGAAGTTTTTATCTGCAAAATAATCCATGATAATATCGAAAGGAACCGATATCCTTGGGTGATAACTCTATATTTCACATTTAGTCAAAATCGGATTAAAATTGTGACATGAAGTGTCCACAAACAAAGTGTGGACGAACGCCCGGACAGGCTGGGCGACGACAATATACGTCCACCTTAAAATGTGAGCGTATAAGAATGGCCAATGGCACCGATAATCAGTCAAAGATGACACGATTTGACTAGATGATTTCACGATAGCCTTATGAAGGACATAATGGACACACGAATTTAAAATTAAAATTGAACGTTTGCCAGCGCTCAGATGCCCTCACGAATGGCCCGATGTTTTACACTTAGAACCGAACTTGAACATTTACTCTAACGTGTGTCAATCTGGAGTCAATTTCGAGACAGAGTGACGCCCGTTTAAGTAATCAGTGGATATTTTCATATTTACTACAATCACCTTCCGTAGTTAAATAGGTAGTATAATTAAAATGGAATAGATTTGATGATTCGTGAGCATACAGGTGTAAGTTGGTTGGTTAATAACATTGTCATTTTCTGATAGAGGCTAAAGTTTAAATAAACCTTTCTTTTTGAATCAATGTACAACCCGGAAAAGTTAATGTGTCATGATTCGCCCCTATGTATATTATTGTTACCTGTATGCGCCACAATTAACATTCTTAAAATTCAAACAATTAAAAACCCTATCGATATTAAAGATGTATTATGTAAGAGCTAAGTCTGCCT